AAGCAGTTTTTATCGAAAGATTTGCTGCTGACTAAAACTATCTGTTTAACGAAAAAAATTTTATGATGACTAAATTCAAATTAACACCATAATTTAATGATTTTTCAATTTTCTTTTCCTGATAAGATTAAAAAAGAACTCTTTGCTGTAGTCCCAACCTCAAAACAACTTTTATATAAACTTCAAAGATTTTTAAGATTCATTCTATTTCTTTATGAAAAGAACCAAATCAAGATCAAAGTAAAAGTGTCAATAGATAATTTACTTCATAGAATATTGTCGTGTTCCGAACAAAAACACAGTAACATCTTGAAAAATTCTTCTATTTATTTTTGTTGAGACTTTGCTAAATATTGGTATTGAAATTCTGTTGTAATGTATAGATCTACAAATTTTGAAAGGATCCTCATCTGACGAACCTAACTGAAAACGTGAGAAAATCGTTTCAGTCATTCTTGCTAGGTTGCTGACAGGATACTGAAAATTAAATTTTAAATATTACTCTCTAAACATAAATCTGAAAAGATCTTAACTAGCTCCTTGTGTTTTCTTATCAACATCCTGATCATATTTGTATTTTTTAAAAGCATTCGAAATATCTGTTCTTAAACAGTTTCACTCAGGATCCTGATCGAAGTTTAACAGGATTTGTTAGTTGAGGATTCTAACGGAGTATCTCCATATCAGGATCCTGCATAGAATTGACAGTGAAGCTTAGCAGGATTCTCCAAACTCAATTCAGAAAAAAATCTGAGCAAGAACTTGAACAAATCTTGGATCGAATCCTGAATCAAATCTGACAGGATCCTTGAAATTTATGATTCTGAAAAATCCTTCAAGGGTGTCTCAGAAACTGGATATGGCTCAGCAGACTAAGCAGAAATCTGCAAGGATCTTTGATAAATCTTTACATTTTCTTATCAAGATCCTGATTACGATTAATATTATGTTGCAAGGTTTAGAAGTGTATATACTTGAAAAGTTCCGAACAAGATTCTGATTGAAGCTTTCGAGGATTAGTCAGTTTCGTATTCTGATTGATCTTGTTATTTTCTTGCCAAGATCTTCGTCTGATATGGCTATCATTCCTGCTGGGATCCTGATACGAAGATTTGACCTACATCCTGACGAGGATTTGATAAAATCTGGGCAGAATCATGTCTGATAATCCTGAGAGAATCCTTGATAGAATCTTGAGTAAGTCTTGATAGGATCCTATATTTTTAACTCAGAAAAATATCTGACCAGGAACTTGAAAAAATCCTGAACAAAATCTTGTTTCACCTTGAAAAGTCCTGGAAACAGGATCCTTCCAGGGTTTCTCAAGGAATGAAAAGGATTGAGGTTAAGGTTTTACTTTCCAGGGGTATATATAGGATGTACACCGTCCATTAACTAATAGTATGCTATGTCTATGGGTTGATGACGGATGGTGGATTTTTGAGACTGAAATCTCATTGTTAAGAGAAATGATTTTAAAGATCTTTAGGGATCTTTTTTTTATGCGTATTAAATCTATAAGTGTGACTTACCTGTACAGATGTGCTGAACAGCTGTGACAGTGACTGGAAGCACGTGGGAAATTGTGAGCAAGTCTGATATTTGATCGCGTTCGTCGAATTTTGGTTGAGAATATTTTCACTTACAATCGATTATTAATTCGAAAAAAATTGATTAAAATCAGATTTTGTCGTTTTTTTTACATGAGTTGCTATCTGATTGTTTCATCTGAGTCGAAACAACAAGATCTGAGGCGCATTCAGTTTCAGGATCCGATCTAGAGAGCTAGACTGCAAATGCTCGCCTTCTGGCTACGTAATCACAACGCAAACTCTTGGATACAGCGTTTATATCTTGTCGCTTCGATAAAAGCATCAGAACCGTTGCCGCGAAACGTATTCGAAGATAGCTACCGAAGGCAGGAACTGAGCTAGAATCGGTAGCCGAATCCAATTTAGAAATTCTACTTCCAGAGCGCGCAGGCAAATCACTGGATCCTGTCATACATCTTTGACCTGGGTATTTCTGAACTAGAAAATCAGATCATCATCTAGCCAACAGTAAAAGTTTTCGAAATCTAAAAATACTAATTGTCTTTGTAACTGAAAACAGTTCAGTACTGTTTAAAACAAATGAGTGATTCATTCCAATGAAATCTATACTTATTCCTACTTCACACTTTTGTTTCATTCCAGCACCATTACGTGCAAGTTTGACTGATATCCGTCCGAATACAAAATGGATACAGAATGGTGTCACTGTCGCTGGAGGAAATAGACAAGGCAGTGGAATCAAGCAACTCTGTAATCCACAGGGTATATATGTCGATGATGGTCAAACTATTTATATTGCTGATCGCGATAACCATCGTATTGTGGAATGGAAATGTGATGCAACAACTGGCCAAGTGGTTGCCGGTGGAAATGGACAAGGAAATGGAGCTCATCAGTTAAACTGCCCATACGATGTGATTATCGACAAAGAGAGAGTTAGTCTCATTATCTCCGATTACAATAATAAAAGAGTAGTTCGATGGCCTCGTCGAAATGGTACTAGTGGAGAAACTATCATTTCAAATATTTATTGCCTAGGTTTGACAATGGATGAGAATGGATCTCTCTATGTCGTTGACTATGAAAAACATGAAGTGAGACGATATCGAATTGGTGATACTGAAGGAACAGTGGTTGCAGGTGGCAATGGAGATGGACATCATCCAGATCAACTCTCTAACCCCTGCTACGTATTTGTCGATCGAGATCATTCAGTATACGTGTCCGATACTGAAAATCATCGTGTGATGAAATGGGAAGAAGGTGCAAAACAAGGCATTGTCGTAGCCGGTGATCAAGGGCAAGGAAATAGACTTACACAAGTGACCGGTCCTATGGGAGTCATTGTCGATCAATTGGGTACTGTCTATGTAGCTGATCAAGGCAACCATCGAGTCATGCGTTGGCCAATAGGTGCCACGCGGGGAAGTGTCATTGCTGGTGGATATGGTCGAGGAGCACAGTCGAATCAACTCAGTTATCCCATTGGTTTATCATTCGATCGACATGGCAATCTCTATGTCGTCGAGTGCGGCTACCATGGAGTGCAAAAATTTAATATGAGGTCGTTCACGTCAGAGATGGGCGAGCCGCGGTTTCACACCGCCCCGCGCCGCCGCATCCCGCCCAATCTGTGGGACGGCGCAGAAACTTGACGGGGCAGGGCGGTGACGGTGCGTCGTAAGATCTTGCGGTTTCCCCGCCCCTTGACAATATTGAGTTTTTTTTAACATTTTTCTTAAATGTTTATTTTTTTCTATTTCGAAATTTTACCTTTATATACAGGGTGGTCTATAAATAATAACATAACGACAAGAAATTTAAATATTTCTACTTCTGGTCATTCAAAAGGATTCAATTTTTTTCATTCGGATAATGTAAATAAATCCAATTGTTAAGTGTTTCAATTAACGTCAACAAAGCAACTTTACTAGTTATCAAGTAAAAAATTGCATATGAAATATTGTGTAGATGACTTTTAGTTGTCGTTTGACAGAATGACTTGAAAAAATTCAAATAAATCTGCTGAATGATACTATATGGCTGACATTGAGAGAAATTTCTCAACCAGTCAATTTGAAAGTTAGCAATTACAATGTTTCGAAGTCTCAGACGTGTAACACTGATTTTTGTTGAAAACTTGCCGACTGGGTAACTAAAGGCTTTCAGATACGCGTTTTAGTTATCAAGCACTAGTTCCGGTATTCAAAGTAGCTAGTCCAGAAAATTTTCTATATGTACATCAATGTAGTATCATTTAGAAGATTCGTTTGAATTTTTTCAAGTCATTCTGTCAAATGATAACTAAAAATCATCTACACAATATTTCATATGCGGTTTTTTACTTGATAACTAGTGAAGTTGCTTTGTTGACGTCAACTGAAATACTTAACAGTTTGATTTACTGACATTATTCAAATGGAAAAAAATTGAGGAGAGTTCTATCACCAACCAAAAAATGAGCCCATTTGCATGAACAGAAGTAGAGCCATTTAAATTTCTTATTGTCATGTGATTATATGTAAGTCATCCTGTATTTAAATTATACCTTCTCATCTCAGGAAATATAATAGTAATTATGAAAAGTTACTAAAAATTTCATGAATAAATGACTTCTGACGACAGACTTTAGATGGGGCAGAGCGGGGCGGTGACGGTGCGAAACTTTATCAACGGGGCGGGACGGGGCGGTGGCGGTGTGACTTTTTGGCTGGCTCGCTCATCGAATAAACTCAGTACGATGATTCATTTTTTTTATTCTGCTTCTCTTACAAATAAATCGCGAGTAAATAAAAAAGAATTCATAGCTATTCTGTTTGCACGCGCGCGCGCGACCAGGAACCATCCTGGTGGAGCCGCAGCAAGCGTAAAGCTCATGCACGCATGGGACAGACTCTAATTATTCACATCAGAGATGTGCCAAAAAGTCTGGTGCAGGTCCGATCGTGTACCACGGACACCAAGACAGTTCCTGACCGAGCTTTTAAGGACTACTCGGAAGTCCTTCATATAACGCGAAGCCTAATCTCAACGAGTATAACTCACCCTACCCTCTTACTAACACTCATTTTCTTTAGAGTAATCCTATTCTCATCTCAAAAGAAAAAAAATAATTACTTATTTTCTCTCTATGTTGGACGATGATGATAGTGTTGTTGATAATGAAGACGATACGAATATATCGATGGCTAAATGAAGAGGAAAAAAAATTGATGAGCATCATATAATTAAAAAGAATGGAATAACTTACCCCACTGTTATCTGTTTCATTGACCTGGAAAAAATTTTTGATCTAAAACGAAACAAGACAAAATAAAAGAAAGAAAAAGCTACTTACAGTCTCTGACTTGTTCATGTCCACCTGAAAGAAACGAAATAAAAAAAATTAATTAGAAAAAGCTCTTACTTACTTGAAGTATATAATAGCTAAAATAAAAAGGGTGTGGATGTGGGTGTGGGTGTGGGTCATCTGCACATGTACACCCACACCCACACCCCAAGATCAAACTTATCCAAAAACCAATCAGGCGAACTAAAACATTGATTTTCTACGAGATAGAATGATACGATTTGAGCACGATACTGAGGGAGAATATGAATGATATATTTTTTGTGATCTTACATTCATGACGTCTTTCTTCAGATAAAATATATATGTGACGCAGTGATTCTATCAGCAAAACAGCTTCTCGTACAACCTTTTCTTTTTTTTTAGCGTCCTGTTTGTTCTCTTGTCAATAACGAAGAAACGCAAAAGACTACGAGCATTTTTCTTTCCATGTGTGTATCACGCTTTTTCATGGTTGACATCATCGGTGAAACGACGCAAAAATAATTATGCAAGCACGTTTTCTCCAAAAACGTCGGATTTTCGAATGTTTTTGGAGTCTGTTGCGAATGCTTCGAAGTAATAAACGTTGAGCAAGTAAATCAATGACATTCTTGTCGTTTATTTAGATTTTTATCATTGATATCTGATTTTTAATCGACCAAAATATTCCAAATTGAAAAGACATGGTGTTTCTTAATATCGACATTTTCCTCAAGTTCAGTGTTTGGATGTTGTTCTTTATTTTATCATGGATTTTAATGATAAAGATTCTTTATCAAAATGATCAATGTTACTATGTTAGCAGCAAAATTTCATCTAACAGGAAAAAAATTCTATCAACTAATGAATGGATGATCGATTCGCGTTTAAAACTAAATCATCTGACCATTCTCGGAACACACAATAGTTATCATCAAGAAACGTTTTTTTACAAATATCATCATTCAAATCTTGACATTCAATTAGTGGCTGGTATTAGACAGATTGAATTAGATATTCATTTAATGAAAAATGATTATGTTGTTTATCATACGCAATTCATCGATGATAAGACAAATTGTTATTGTTTTAGTGATTGTTTAGTAAGAATTCATAGATGGAGTCAACAGAATCCAAAACACTATCCAATATTTCTCTTCATTGAAATCAAACAAAGATTTCGTGAAGATTTTTTAACAGCGCTTGATGGTGACGTTCGATGTCAACATTTTGAATCTATGAAAGAACAAATTTTGCGAGTATTTTCTATTGATTCATTCATACTACCAGAATTAATTCGTGGTCATCAGACATCAATTAATTTAGCTTTGAAGAAACAGAGACAAGATGAATTAAATGGCAATTATTCATATGGAAATTATGGTTGGCCTCCACTATTTCAATCTTTAGGGAAAATTTTTGTGAGTTTCATTGATGATGAACATAATATCATCGTTGGTTTAATTTCTACATGTGAATCACTTTCAAATTTTTTCTTTATTGCTCAAACAAATATCAATCTTCCCTATGCATCAATTATCAATATTCGGAATCCATTAATAAATGAACAATTAATCGTTGCAAGTCATATGAATGGTCAAATAAGTCGTGTTTTACTTGGCTATGGTGATCAACAAATCTTTGAGAGATATAAACAATCTCGAAAATATGGTATTCATATCATAAGTACAGATTATGTACAATGCGATGATACAGAATTATGTCAAAGTGTGAAAAATGATTTTCAAAGTTCTTCGCCGATATTGTGTAATACAGTTCTAGCTCCTAGTTTTTGTAATACAACAATACTATCTCTTTGAGAAAAGTATTTGTTCTGTATGATTGAGAAATATCTACGTTTTTCTAATCTTTGCACTGATGGAAAATTTCTTCTTCGAATAATGTTCGGCACTTCAACTTGATATTGAAAAATATAATCTCGTCTGGTCATAATTCATTCGACTGCTTTTGTTATTCGAGCTTTTTCGATTGTCGATTGTTCAAAAGAAAGTTTGATCGACATATTTTCATGCGAAAATTGTTTGAATCAATGTGACACTATCTCCTTCTCTTTCGCTATTCAATCGTTGCCAATTAGCATATACTTGTGTCTCTCTGTTTGTTACTGCGTGATTGTTTGCTATGTATTGACTACTATACAATAGTGTCTCAAATATTAATTTTGTTCTGTTCTTTTTTTTGCAAATTGGAAAAAAACCAAGCATCGATGAAGAACAAGGTAAATAATTCTTCGTTTTTTTTTTCTGTGCAAACGAAAGCAGCTCTTCAAGAACAACCTGTGTAAATATAAAGGCTTTTGTGAAAAAAAGCAGAAGAAAGTATGTGCGTAAATGAAATATTCTCTACTTGTTATGAATGACTCATGCGGTCCAAACAACAAGTTTTATCCTTGTGAAGAAATGAGGAATTCAATTGATTGACTTCGTAAAAGAAAACGTTCGAATCATGATGTCTAATTTCCATTTATCTGTTTTTTTTTTCTTTTGTTCTATTTCTTATTGTTTAATCTTTTCAATAAAGACTTGATTTCTATCAAAGATTAAACTGTCCATGTTCTAGAATAAGACAAGGAAATTTGAGATATTTAATATATATGGCTTTCAAAAAAAAAACAAAAAATTCACAAGACCAAAAAATTATTCTTTAATCTCTCTAACTCTAACTCATGAAATTTAGGTTGCACTGGAAAACTAATTTAAATTTTTCTCATATACTAAACTTTTCAATTCAATCCAAGAATTATCTCGTAGTTGTTGTCTTTCGGAAGTACACAGTGGTTGTTCACTGATATATTGACAAAATTGCCATGTGTATGTTGTTAGTTGTTGATCATCGTTTGATTTGTACCAATGAACGAAACGAGTTATCAAATGTTTTCGAACGAAATCAAATTCAAGAATCCATTCTTGACCATCACGTGTAAATAGAGATGATATTAACGGTTGATTTCGTCTTGTTATTTTGCCCCATAGAACAAATCTATAAGCATCGAGTGCTTGACTTTGTTCAAGATCATACATAGGCATTAGTGTTCCTTGTCGAACATAGAATGGAATTCGATCGAGACGACTTGTATCTTCAAAAATAAACGAACGAGCTTTGTGTGTAATAGAGGCATTAAAACCCGAAATCCATTTGCCTGTAGGTGATGATGGAAGCCAAATATGTTGTGTTTGCTTGGGAGTTGGATCACGTAGAACAGGTACAACATAGACAGATGGACCAAGAAAATAGGCATGTGTTAAGAAACATTCGATATCATTACATGGTAGCATAAGTGTACCATTTTGATACAGAGCAACCTTAGTACCTTCAGTATACAGATAAGGAATTAATGAATAATGTAAATTAACCCATGATCGATAAATGTCAACCGTTTCATTATCAAATTTCCATGGTAAATGTTCACCACCACCTCCATTTTCCATAAATGAACTCAATGCACCAATGGCTGTCCATCGAAGAAATAGTTCTTTCGTGCGACCAAGTGGACCTGCACTCGAATCAGTTCCATATCCACCAATATCTGATCCAAATCCGACATAACCACGACTACCACTTTCAAGCATATATCGAAGTGCTGTCTTCAATCCGTCATAGGTTCCATCTTCATCACCAACCCAACCCATAAATACTATTTCACGTGGTGACCATTCTAGATTGTCATCAACAGGACGAGACATAATTAAAGCATCTGGACCAATTAAACGACGCAAAAGTTGAAATGTGTCATTGTAATAAGCTGTTCGATACTTAAGCCATGTTATACGTGGATCATGGAGTTTTTCAATATATCGATCACTTTCATCGGCCTAAACAATACAACAAAAGAATATAACTTTCAATCAATGTGATTCCAGAAGAGTGCTTTGATTGGTTAGGTCTAATCGACTTTTTATTTTTGCTACCTTGATAAAGAAACTTTTTATATCTTACTTTAAATGCATGAATTGGACCGACAGTATCTAGAAGTCGTTCAATTTGACTATGCCACCAATTGACAGCATGGTCATTAAAATAATCTAATAATCGTCCTTCACCATGCCACCATTTAAGTGTTTTATTGAATAAATATCCATGTTCTTGTGCATATTGATAATTTGGTGAATCAATATTAATAAATGATGTCATCCAAAGAACAATATGAACACCTTTTCCTCGAATATTATCGAGCATTTGTCGAATATTTGGAAATTTTTCTGGATCGAATATAAACGTATTAAAATTAGTCTCCCAACGTGAATCAATATTGACAATACCAACTGGAATATGATGTTCAAGATAACTATCAAACATTGCTTGAATATCAACTTGATTCGTATGTGTATTATGTAACCAAACCATATGATAATGAGCCCATTCTGCATACGGTAATGGTACTGTTGAAACAATAAGTGGACAGAAAAAGAATAGAAAGATTCGTATCATAATTTCTCTGCAATGAAATACGATTGAAAATGAGATAAGATTCAGAATATGAGACGTAATTTAAAGAAATAATCAAAATCATGAATGAGAATATATGCATCTGCATTTACCTCGATATCAAAATGGTGTGCATTACGTGCTTTATAATTCATATAAGAGTCGATTTGTATTTATTTTTGGATGCAATTTCATTACAATTCTATTTTCCTTTAACAATGATGAAGCAGGAAAATTTTTTTTTTGTTCTCATGAAAACAAAAATTTGAGAAGTTTTTCCGTAACAAATATGATCGGAAATTAGAGTACATGTTGTCAGTTACACGTATTTTTTTCTGAATGTACATCGAATTAAGTGAATTTTTCACAAAATCATTTTCTGAATATGAATTTAGAATATCGAAACTCACATAATTCTTTCATCTTTGTCTTCAATTCAATTAAAAAATTTATGAAAAGTTTACGTTCAAACATATAATTTCTATTCCTTTATTGAAATCAATTATCAGAGCTATAATTTCTAGACCTATTGACAAAGATGTGTAAATTGGTTTTGATATTCTATTCACAGACACATTCGCTCTTATTTTGGAAATAATAAGGGTGTGGGTGTGTACTTTCTCTTCACTCACACCCACCGCACACCCTTCAATAATAAAAAGCGTAAAAGTGATTTATAACAATCGTTAAGTTTATTGCATGACAGTTGATGCAATCTAGGACAAAGATCAACCAAAAATCTTGTTTGTTCTAATGTATGTTGATAATTAATTATTTGTTGTAGATACTAATCGAAAAGCTTCATTTCGTTGAATTAATTCTTTCATGACCAGTAGTACACATATGTACCACTTTTTTTTGTTTTTGGCCAAAGAACTATAATGAATTAGTAAAACTGTGTAATAAATAAAGAAAAACTAAAATAGGAAAGAATATGAGAATTTGAATGGTTCTCATGAATAGAAAAAAAAGCATGACCTACCCATGTATCCATTTTTTAATTTTCGACGCGTCCCCGAGCGTTTGTCAGCAATGTAATTTCACGCGTCTGGATGCATCCAAAATGCAACATTTTCGGGTGTTCTAACGCGTTCTAATAGAGAAACGCATCCTGACGTTTGTTTATTGTTAGAAGCGTCAAAACGCGTTTTAGGATATCCAAAATTTGTTAAATTTTAAAAAATTGTGCTCTATTTCATGGTATCGATCCACTTTCATCGCTACATGATATTTTTATTTCAATTTAACACATTATTAAGTTATTGAATAGAATGCAATAAACGAGATTCGATCATGATGCCTACAGAATGAAAGGCATTGAACTTACCACGAAGCTGTAAACACTCGTAGTCTTATCTGTTATTATCATGTGACTTTTTATAGAGAAAAAGATCAATTTATAGTAATTGCTTCATTAAATTATATAAACTTTGAAATATTTTCATTTTTTTAATTTATCAGGATCACAGAATACGAGAAAAACGGTTTTTTCGATAATTAATTGCTTATTCAATGAATGCTCAATGGATGAAGCATCTTAACTTTTTTGTCTTTTTAAAGTAAAAAAAAATTAATTTAAATTTTAAATTCAAATTAAGTAATTATTTTTTCTTTTTCTTTTTTACTTTGAATGAAATTTTTGCTCATAGCGAGGTGAAGATAAATTTTATAGAATTTACTTTTCAACAAAAATAGTGAAAATTGAAGAAAGTAAATTTAAAGAATTGCGTATTTTGTAGACGATTATATGCATTTTGTTTCTTCTATCACATATGACTCTTTAGTGTAAGAATTCGTATACGAAAAAGCAGAAAAAACTTTAGACTTTAACACATAAACATTAAATGTATTGTAAATACGTTCATAACCAACTCAGATAAAATATTTGTTGCACATGGATGCATCTAAACGCCCGATGGTAATAATGTCTGAATGCATATTTTGTGTTCTGACTGCATTTAGACGCTATTTTAAGTTGTTTTTAGCTACATACAGACGCAATTCTGTTTCAATTTATGTTTGAAAGCAAGTCTACCATTGTCTAACTTTGAACTTCATGTTTGAGTTAAAATGGACATTTTTGCTTAGCACTTAAATTTTATTTATTTTGAAATTTAAATTGCTACGCTTAACATATGTGTTATACAAGAGCGAAATTGATTTCGTAAAAAAAAAGTGCTGGTAGTGACATGTAGCAAAATAATATTATTGTAATACCGTTTTCGAATGAATGTTCTGTACATTTCAAAATTTGATACGTGTACTCATTTGTTTCTATTTCACAGATTAACTAAGTCTTCATGACTTTATATGCTGAACACAAATCTCATGAGATTTCTTGTATCCAACTATTTGTGTTTATATTCTGTGTCATACAATGCTAGCCACTGATATTTGAAACTGCAGATTATCAAGAAGAGTCCTCTTTAAGAATTCGAAACGCAGTAAGACTTAAATACGTCATCTATATAATTTACTATATAATTTTTATGCTTTTTTAAATAAAAAATACGCAGTTCAATTTACTGTTTGAGATCTAGTCACACGTACTGTGACGAAGTAATCTGCATTATTGATAGCACTATGTGCACTTGCAACTAGAAACGCATTCAGATGCATCTTGTCTATACAAAAGAGAAAAAGAAACTACATTTACACACACGATTGGAACTCAAAAGCATTAGTTGCATATAGGGGAAGCGCTTCGGATGCAAAATTAAAAGCAATTGCATTCAAACGCATCTAGGTTAATATTATTTTCAGGTATGAATGCATTCTAATACAAAAATGATACTGTTCGCGTTGAAATGCGTTTAAAAACTACTGTAAATCAGATGTGATGCGTTTTATGATTATATGAGTTGATGGCTGGATAGTCAGTCAACTCACATTGCTTCATTCACAGCGTTACAGAGTCGTTACTAATAGGCTGTGATATTATCAGACGCATGACAAGGCACTGATGACAATTTTAAAAAGAAATGTAGATATTCAGATGTAAGACTGTCATCATTTTGTATCTATCTCATCAAAGATGAAAACACACAAATGAAAAAAAAATCATGTTGGCGATCGCTGCGCTTAAAAAATTTTCTTAAAAAGACTGTAATCACATACATGCTTCCTGAATTATTCTTCATTATTGATTTCTCGTTTTCAATCGTAGTGTCGACTGTTGGTTTGCTCTGCTGTCTTATCATGATTGTTATCATTGCTGCTCATCAACCATGTCGCACAGTCGCTAATCTTGTGACTTGTAATACAATTATGTTCATTACAGCCTATTCCATCTGCAATATCGTTTCATCTATCTATGGTTTTCATGAAGATTGGACACTTCAACAACCGGGATGTGTTTTCCGAGCATTTTTATTTGTCGCAATACCCGCATCCACCAGCTACTCGTATCTTATTCAAGCTGTCAGTCGTCTCTTCTTTACTGTCTTTTTCAAATATAAATATCTGGTTACTTATCGTGTTCATTGTTGTTTGATTGCTTTCAACTGGATTATTGGCATTTTGATTTCGATTGTACCATTTTTCTTTGATGGTAGTTTCGTATACGAAAAAGAATCGCGTCTCTGTGTACTTACATCTAAAAATTTCTTAATATCCATATATTGTATAGTTATTGCATTTGTTATTCCACCGAACAGTTCCATGATTATTTATAGTATAATTTTCTATCATGCTCGTAGATCATCTCGACGAATTACTCCTTCAACATCCAATACTATGACTACTCATATACCAAATGCTAAACGTGAAATGAAACTTGCACAAAATATGATCATGATCGAGACGCTTTATGCAGCTGCCGGAGTACCTCTTTTGATACTTATTCTTTGGCAAGTGATACAAGTCAACAGTCCACCACCTGAATCACTTTATTTATTGAGTATGAATTCAATATCAGTTTTTTCCACTCTTATGATAATTATGCTATTCTGCACGAACAAGCAAGTGAAAGACATTGCTCTTAATTATCAACACTCTGAGCGGCAACGTGTGCATCGAGCAACGACTGTTAATCGTCAACAGCAGATGTTGCAAGTTATTAGACACTGACATTGTAGGAAACATAAACCAGAAGAGATATATACTTTTTTGACGGTTAAGCAAAAATTTAATTTATCAGTTCTATATGATTTGGTTTTAATGATGACATTCAATTATTGTGTACTACTGATCTTCATACTCGATCAAAATTATTTTGAATCAGTCCTGTCCATGACTCGAATTATTGAAACTTTGAGACTCCTAAACAGTAAAAACATTTTTTTTGCAAAAGGCCACACATTTTGATTTCTTTGAAAGTATGATCGATGTATTTAAGAAAAAAATTTTCAGGCGAACACCTGTAGCAAATATTATAAGACTGGATTGTGTATGTTAGACTGTTTGAAAATGAAATCAAAGTATGAGTCATTATTCCTTGTAGCGTGCCGGGTTTTCTGTAACCATCATTTTTTGCTATTGAATAAGTAAGAAAAAAAGGTCCTTTGCACATGCTTGAAAATTGTACTCAAAGATCGACCAACAAAAAGTCTTTAAAATCAAATTCACGTGTCTAGTCACAAAGTAACAGATAGGATGTGGGTGTGAGTGAGATGGTTAGCAGAACACCCACCCTTCTTTTTTCTCTTAAAAAAGTCACTACTTTTGGACTGCCCTAAGTATTAATAAACGGCGTTGAAGAGTACATTTTTTTTTAAAATAAATTCTATTAATTAAGAATTGAATTTCAATAAAAGATATTTTTCTAACACACTGATCGATGAGGAAAAATAAAAAAATACCCATGTGGTATGAAATGTAAATAATCACTTAAATTAAATCGAACGGCTGGATAATACACTGATAATTGTCCTCGATATGAATAATAACTAATTTCATTATGCCAACCACAAGAATAACGAAATATACATGGATGATTATTTCTATATAGAAATACTGCAATATCAAACATTCTTAAATCGAGTGCATCAGAACGACAATAAAATCCTTCTTGTTTATATTGTTTTTCTTGAAGTTGAATATCTGCTATAGAATCAGTTACGATTGGAGATCCAGGTGGTCCTCTACCAAATACTCGTTCAATAGTAGGAGCTACTTCAGATGCTGAAGTTCGTGATGGAAGAGCATGTGGAGCACCAAGTACTGGAGCTCTTGCTTGTTTCAATAGTTGACTAATTTCAGTAATTTGTCCTCTACCATCAAGCCAAATAATCCATTTTGCTAGTGGAAACAATCGTTGTCCAATTGTTTTTAATATTTCAGTTGTTTTTGCAGCTACACTGAATGGTGTAGCATTAACACCTAAATCAATTAAATCCCATGGAATAACTGGACTTATCAAATTCGATTTTTTATAGGCATCCAATGTTTTTGTATCAACTAAAGCAACGAAACAGAATGATGGTAGAAGAGTACCTCGTATTTGTGGTAGAAGGTCATAGCAGTCTGTAATAATTGTAAAAAGTATCGTTTCACATGTATGATTACGAGCATATCGATTTCGAACTTTATCAAATATCGACGAAATAGTAAAACCACATTTGATTGGTTTTGGATAAGATTGTTGATATAGTTGTTCGCGATCTTCGAATAAATATATATCACTAAAAGCACAATCATATGTTTTTAATAAACATCGATTTAATCTCTCAGTAGAATTACGATTTGGAATTGTTTCGAATTGCATTTGAGCAAATATACCGGCACTATAACATTGACGATTATCATATAAATATTGAATAAATGAAGAATTACCATGTAAATGATAGAAATCATTAGTATATGTGAAATTTATTGAAGGCGATGGTATAGACATGTCAAGAACATTTTCAGCTACAATTGATTGATCCCACCAAGTTGAATCTTCAATAAATTGATGAGAATCATATTCGATAATATCATTTAATTTTAATGATGAATTTGAAAGTTTTAATAATGATATAAAATCTATTAGAATTTTTTCACATTCAGTTAAATTTGTTTTAATTAAATCTTCAGAATTGATAATTGTTAATTTAATAGATTTGAAATAATTTGGAAAATAATTTATTGTATCTTTGAAAGAAATATTTAAGTCGAATGTAAAATTAATATTTGGTCCTATTAAATCTAATTGTTGAAAGAAAACTGTTGCTCTAATAGATTTTCTTTTAAAATAAATTTGATTAATATGTCCTATACCAATTTTTACTATTTGATTAATCTTATTTGAACATTGAGACTCTGAATTTAAATTAGTTGATAGAGACATAATATAAATTTGAACAAATGAGTTATTAGTCGAATTTGAGGAAAAATAATTTTGTTGAATAATTTGACAATTATCATTTAATCGAGTTATTTTAATATTTCCTAATTTTCGTACTATTATCCATTGAATATATTTCATTAGACCAGTACCATCATAAGTCCATAAGACACTACTTATTAATTTGGAGCACTTATGGGCCGTAGGTAATCGATGATCAACAGGATCCCATTCAAAACAAGGATTAAAATTTGTTTCACGAACAGAAAGAGGTAAATGATGATAGTTGAAGCGAGTATTGATAAATAAACAAAATATTATTAGAATTAAACCAGCAACTATATAATGAATTGAAATTGTTGAAGACATCACCTAAAAATCAAATGAATTTATTTTAGGATTATATATTCTTTGATAAAGTCAAGCGCACTAGTTACGAATATTAGATACTCAAAATCTTGTAATAAACAAGAAAAATACCATTGTTGATTCAAAGTTTCGAGGATTCTCTGAAAAACTTTTCCAGAATCAGAAAGATTTCAATGAAAAATCAATGAATATCGTGTGTACCACATCTAATCACCTGTTTTTCCACTTTTGAAAGTTCGTAGTGATTATTCAATGTCAATTAGTTGAGAAACTTTCATCAGGAATATCAAAGCTCGGTTCGACCGGATCTCGGTCCAAAAATTTCGGACCTGACAGAGTCTACTCAAGAGTAAATTTTTACCTTTTTTGACTATCATTCGATGGTTTTTGAGTAGAAAAATTGCTGTTTGACTTCAAAAGAATGTGATATTTGAAATCAAGACAAAAAAAAACTGAGTCGACTTATATATGTTTCAAATTGCTTCTATGAATTTCAATTTTCTATTCAATTTTTGACATATGGTCCCCGTTAGCTATAGGTGAGAAAAGGAACTTCTTCAAAATAACTATTTGACTATCTAAAAATCTCTGCTTTTGTTTCCCAAGTGCATGAAGCTGCATTCGCATTGCCAAAATGCTTTTTTTCGTCTATCTCTGACAGGAATCACAGGTCAGAAAAACGAAAGTTACAAAAACAATTTGAAACATATATAAGTCGATTTAGTTTTTTGTACTGATTTCAAATATCACACATTTGTTTAAAGTCAAACTGCGATTCTTCTACTCAAAAACCGTCGAATGGTAGTCAAAAAAAAGACACAAATTGACTCTCAAGTATAGTAGTTAGAGCAAAAGTGCTCTATATGAAATCGAAAATGATGTTATGAGAAAGAGTATATTGAATTACGTATTCGGTAAAAATAAATCTCTCTGGTGTACTCGGAAAAACGATAACTTTATAAGACTCGAACAATGATTATTTGTAACAATATGATTTGATTGAAGCCGTATGCGACATTTATTGATAGTTCACTTAATATAACGAACACGATGATTTTCAGAGAATCTTGAAGCATCATTTTTGAGTCCAGCATATGAAAAAGTCTTAAAAATGAAATATGCAATCCAAATTTCACATAGTCTATAGTCTTCTATCACGAGATATCAGAATTCCCAATTTTTTCCAGACATAGAGAAAAACAGATTAGAGACTCAAAATTACTATTTATATGATCGCTCATACTATCAGCAAGCTTTTAAAATATATTGTTTTACCACATAAAAATCTTCTTTTCATGGCGTTAGAACAATAACATAAACCAAAAAAGAAACTGGATATAAAGCCAAAGATGACTTAGAGTATCCGCTATTAATAATTAGTGTATTTAATTCAATCTCAACAGAATGAAAGATAAAAGATTTTCCACAGGTCTGAAAAACATTTACCCAACTAACTTATGAAAAATTATCAATCATCATGCCTTACTATAAACTGATAAAAAAATGAATTTTGTTGGTCAGACCGAAAAATGGCATCATTCTCATTAGTCTTTTCTTCATCATAATTTTATCTGGCATTTATGAAACTTTTGTTGACTTAATCATTTCACACTATGAAATTTGCTCAAAGCATAAAAAAAATATCCACTCGTTAGTATCGAACTCAAGTCAAATACGTTCGAAAGCAAAACATATATCTCTTAACTAACGATTCTAAGGATTGAACACATTCTAATAGCAATATTAAAGTCATAAATGGCAACGATCCTGAAAGAATAGATAAGAATGAGTCATATAATCTAAATTAAAAATCACAATTTCAAAAAAACAACTTAATGCAATAACGATGAGAGTGAATCAAACATAAAAATAGTTACATTTCTTTTTACTCTTTTATAGTTTAGCCACATCCAATCAGTGCATGAAATACAATAGTTTGAAAAATGCTTTTTTTAATCATGCATCTTATCATTGAGAAAAAAAAACAAACAAATGTTTAGAGTTTAGCAAAAAAAACGTAACATCTCGTTAAAATCCAACTGAAGGACGAAAAAAATCAAAATCCACCATTGTTTATTTTATGTTTTTGGCTTCATTTTATCAAAAGAAAACACATACGAAATAGTTAAGTATTGTGGAGCTAAAAGAGATGGACTACTGCAAATAATAAAATCAAATATAAACTATGTATCATTCGACAAATAAGTCTCTGTAACTTCCGTCATTATTAACAATAATATTTGGTAAACAAATCTACTTCTGATCAAATGTTTGATAAATAAATTGCTAGTAGAATTTAACTTATTTTGGGCTGTGATTATGGATGAATAGAAGTTCAACACTCATCTCATATGAAGTAAATAAAACATTCATAACCTAGAATCTTTGTTGTGAAAATTCAAACGAATGATTTTGTTTTCCTCCCAACATGTTCATCTAGACTGAAATAGGAGTTTTTATCGAATTTACTTTGGAATAGAATCGATACGGTTGTTGCCAAATGCATTTTTTCAGTTGAATTGAATAATGTGAGATTTGAAAGCTTTCTTCTGAATTCTTCATATCAATTCCATTGATCAGAGTCTGACTAATACAAACAAAGCTCTCTATGTAAGTAACAAAAATGAATACCTCATTGAGAATGTTTCAGACAATTTTGTTTACCTTTTTTTTCTGTTCTACCACTCTCCATCATGAAAATGCTGTCGATTCTCTCTCTGTATGAAATTTTCTTTTTAATCAATGTTACTTTTCTCCTCGATTCGATTCTTTCAGATTATAAACAGTAGTCGAACTGCAATATGATACAGCAATGTGTTTCATAATTAAATGATTTTTCTTTGATCAATTCATAGGATAAAACTTGTAGAAAAGCGTTGTACCATTAGCATAAATTATGATTTAAAAAATTTTGCATTTCATGCGGATTATAAAATTGATATGTTGCGATTCTACATGTTGGTAAGATTAATTTTAAAATTAGTTTCACTGAAACGGACAATCGCAAAATATTAGTAACGTACTTTTAGAAAAAGGTAGAGAAAAATGTTGATTTCTTTTTATCAAAAAAGCTTGAAAAAAAAATTAATAATAAAATTAATATTCTTACTCAGCTCGATTTAAATTTGGTATTTTTTGCGCCTTATATCTCTTCAGACATCAACTCTGCTTTACTTTGTCCTGTGAATTCAACAAACTTTCTAGCCTTGTGAACAACCAAAATATCAATTGATCAATTGACTACCTCACTAACTGATTCGCAATAGAAATTCAAGAATTTTTTTTGCTTTCACATATGATTCAAGGTAGCATAAGAATGAATGTAATTAATGGAAATAGCAAGAGAGGTAAGTGATTGAATGAAAATTACTGTATTAGATAGGCTTCAATGTATAGATGTTTACTAATTTATAAGGGTTTTTTTTTTGCGCAGTTGTTGTCAATGGAAAAATATTGAAACATTGTTTGTAAAACGAAATGAATTTTAAAGAGAAAAATCCACGTTTTTTTGTTGTGTCAAGACTTTCAAATCGTAATTGCTTTGAATATACTGATTTCGTTTCTTTAGCGAGGTGAAGCGATCAAAAATAGTCTAACCATCAAAAGTTACATGGATACAGAATATGTATTTATCGATCAATGGTCTACACGTAAAACGAAATCATGTGAATGTAATGAAAAGAGAGGACAGGTAAAAGAGTACACAAACAAACGAATGAAAAATTTACATAAAAAATGAAAAGAAAAAAGAAAGATTGTAAAAACAGGTTGAAGAATAGAGACTTAACAATGAACACTTGATCAGAAATAATTCTCCATTTACAGGACTTTTACAGGTAACGTCTATTCCAAATAAAAAGACTTATCACAGCAAACTTCAACCAATATATCACCAGTAGTGCCAGTTTTCGAATGCCGAAACAACGAATTCTTTGATTGGAACAGTTTCATCATGTATACATCGCCCACTGTTACCTGTTAAATGACAGTAATTAGTGGCTAAGCGAAATATTTTTTTTTATATAAAGTATGAAGTATCGAAGAATGCATATGTGACTGAAAGAAAGATCCTCACGCACGCGCACAACTATATCCTAATATTGGACACTAAGAAACTGCGAGTTTTTCAGCGATTCGAATATTTGTAGCATTCAATTTCCGACGAGCATCGAAATTCTTTATAGAGCCCTCGGAGCGTCACTCTCGAATAGGTCGAGAGTTCGACGATAGCTCTTTTCTATACGCAAATTTCCATTACTCAAACGATTGTTTCTGAGTGGATCAAAATAAAAAGGATTTTGTTCTATCCTACTGTCTTACACTGTCCTGATGGTAAAGCCCTTCAGATACTAATACAATCAGCACACATGATAACGAAGCACATCTTATTGAAATTCTATCATTAGAATATTAGTCGAAGTATGATCAAATAGCATAGAAAGATAGAGCTTTTTTCCTCTCTCAAACTATATAGAAAGGAAGTTTCTCTAAGCCTACTATACGGCATTAAAGTATCACTCTCACTACTTTTGGTATGCCCTAAGTATATTAGAATTCGAACTATGTTGAGAATAGATTAGATGATCCTCGATCTGGTCGTCCGATTTCGATACCTACAGAAGAAAATATTGAACGCGTTCGAAAAGTTATTGGAGATGATCCACATTCAACTTATGATGACATTACAGCTGAGACTAGTCTCTCTCATGGTACAACAGAACGAATTATTCATGATTGTCTAAAGATGAGAAAAGTTACATCACGTTGGGTTGCCCATCAACTCAATGACGAACAAAAGCAAGAACGATTTAGAATTTGTCGTCAAAATTTAGAGAAATTTAGAAATGGAATATGGAGGTTATGTGATACTATTACTGGTAACGAGACAAGGATTTATCACAAATAGATTGGTCGGAAGTCAAGCAATGCTATCTGAATTGATGAAAATGAATCATCAAGAACCATTGTGCATCAAAATAGGTTTGAACCTAAGACAATGTTGTGTTTATTCGTTAAATTAAGTAGTCCCGTTCTTATACATAAAGTAGATCAAAGCAGTACAGTGAATCACAACTATTATATTGAAACATGTCTCAAGCCTATTATCAATGAAATGCGAAAATAAGATAAATCATCACGCACACAATGTATCAAATTGCTTCATGATAATAGACATCCTCATACTCATGGCGATGTTATTAATTATTTAATAGAAGAAGGTATTGAAATAATGCCGCATCCACCATATTCACCAGATCTTGCGCCATTTGACTTTTGGCTAAACGATTATTCCAGTAAAAGAGTTTCAAAAAACTTTTGATAAGCTGTTAGAAAGAATGGAACTTTGCATATATAATAATGGTAGTTATTTTGAGCATTTAATAAAATAAAACTAAAAATATTTCTTTCTTTTCATATTCTTGTTGCATATTATCAGAATTTTTTCTGGATTATAAGCACTATAGACTTTATCTTATTCATATACAATAAAACATTCAATATTTACTATTTTATAAAATTTTAAATACTGTGATCAGAACTTTTGGTCAGCTCTAGGTAAAATTAGAATGAGTGCAACAAAAATTTCCGTCACCTTCACCCTCCCTTCCGCACACATTTTTTTTTGAGTTATGTTAACTGTCTTGAATCATTTACTCATTGAAATCTTTGCATTGTTAAGGTTTTTTCAAATCGAGCAAATTTCATGTTACTGTTGATAGAAATAGTGATTCTTTGATATTCTTTATGTTTAATTTGTACATCAGATAAAAAAAACTAATAACAAATATGCATAATCGATTGAAATAACAATATTATTATTAAAGAATATTTTTTAAATCTGCCATTACTGATGAAGAATCGGCTTCTACTGGTAAATTAACAACATATTCTCTATTTTGAGTAAATTTAGATTGCATGCATTTTAATCCTTCGACTTGTTCTCGAATTTTATCACCATTGATTGGTAATCGATAAAGAGAACCTACTAGAAGAAATATTTGTTCTGGTTTAATAATATCAGTAGAATCAGATAAATTATTGGATATTGTTGTTGACGTCATTTTCATTGCTTGTTGAAGAATATCAATTTCATGTTTATAATCAACTAATAATTTTTCTAAACCAGCAATAACATCATCATTTTGAACTCCAGCACTTTTTTTTGTTTTTTCTTCTCGAATAAAATGTTCAATATATTCCAAAATATCATCATTTATTGGATTAAGTGCATTAGCACGAAGAAATTGTGTTAATTGAGTACAAACTTTAATAATAGCTTCTTGTTCTGTTTTTAAATCTTTAATACGTTGTTCAATTCCATCGATTGGAGATTGTATTTTATTCTTACTATTCATTTCAATATTAGTAATAAATTTACGAACTTCATAAGTTATATGCATATGTTCTTTTCTCATACAACCACATTTATTACAAGTATCTAAAAAGATTTATATCATAGTAAAATATTGAATAAAATTTATGAAAAGAATTTAGGGAGTAAATGAATTCTTGTGTGAATAATTAAGTCATTATACAAACAGACAAAACGATAGAAAATGATTACTTAGAATTAAAAAAGAGAACGTCGAATAGGTTTGTTTTCAAGAAAAATATAATTTAAGGATTCTGCCTTTCCGTAATTTTTAGAGAACGGTTGATCAGAAAAATTCCAAATTTTCAGAAAGATAGATCTTGATGAATAGAGCAAAAGTTGTCATAGACTCATATTCTTGAATACTTTTCTATAGGAGATCCTGATGTGGCAAGGGCGAAAAAGAACCTCTCTAATCGCCGTCTGTTTTCAGCAAGGCGAAAATATCAGACTTCAAGACTAAACTCTCTGCTGTTTCCCCTCGGTTTCCAATCGTAATGCATCTCATAGAGTTGAAAAATTCGTCACAGATATTACGCACTCTTTGCGACGTGTACTTCTTTTTACAACAGAAGGCAATTCTCTACTTTTTTTTTTGTCGAAAACTCATTTTTCATTAAAAGTAAAATAATGTGAAAATTTTGAATGAGAAAACACGGGAGGCCATTTAAGTAATAAAATTCTCAAAATTTGAATCGATCTTCAAAGAAGCCAGAAATATTCTAAACGAATTCTCATTTATTCATTCTATTAATCTCTAATAATTCAATTAAAATTTCGTCTTGAAATGACCGTAAGGAAAAAAGTTCAGAGAAGGCTTAAGAAATCTGTAATCAGAAGCAAGACTATGGAGATCAACTCTTTAGTGAACAAAGACCGAAAACAAAATGAACCGAACTCGAGCCAATAAAACTTCGTTTGATTCGATCTTTGTTAGTAAAGGTTGACTGGAAGATAAAATATATTATAATATCATGATATCCAAAATAAAGATCAAAACTATTTGTTCCATTTTTATTAATCTTATAAGTGTGAGAATATTTTAAAAAGAAATTAATTAAACTTACCGAATAATTTATTCATAGAAGTACAATCTTTTAATTTTTCATGACCAATAATCTCCTGTTCAATTCCAGTAAGATAACAATGTGGATGACAATGACTTGCATAATCAACTGTTTCTATACCATTAATTGTAATTACTTTCGTACATTTATTATTTGTACATACTGTTCTTGGATATCCAAGTGGTATAATTTCTGCATCTTTTTGTTGTAAAATCTGCGGTGTTGGAGTACGATTTGATATAATATTTTTTTTATGTTGTTCAGCTAATTGAAGATTTTCTTGAATAAGTGTAGTAATTTCACCAACAGGTCTCGAAAGTTTTCGAATTAATTGTTGTGCTTCATTAAGTGAAAGTGTATCACGTGTAGCATGTTTATCACATTTAATTATACGAGATATAAGACGACTAAATTCACGAATACTATAATCCCAACTTCTACTATAATCTTTTTTTTCTTCAAGACTAAATTCAATTCCATTTTTACATAATGCTAAAAATCGAAATGCTTCATTATCGAATAAAAATGAATTTTCTTTTGAAAATGGTATTTCAGTATTTGATTGAGATTTAACATTTTGAAGAAGTTGTCGAAGAAGTGGAGCTGATGGACCAGGTTGAAAACTAGTTGATCGAGCATTTGTAAATATAAACATAATATTTTCTTTAGCATGAATATGTAAATGTCTAAGTAATTCTTTAATACAAAAACGAAATAAAATATGTAATCTTTCTTCATTTGGTTTTAATAAAATACATATTCCATTTAAATAATCAAATTGACTTATATAAGCAAGAATATCTTCAAAATTTTTTTCATCTTGTAAAACACCTTCAGTATCACCGATACCTGGTGCATCAATTAAACGTAATTTTCTATTATTAATTTGAAATACAAAACTTCGACATTCTCTTGTACATGATTGACCTACATGACCCTTTTTTTCACTTTCATCTGGTGCACCAATTATTATTGTTTTTTCTTCAAATGTATTTTTATCCAAAATTGTAAACCATGCTGGAATTACTTCTTGTAATTTTCCATTAATAGCTTCATCAAATGAATTATAAACAAGATAATTAGCAAATGCATTAATAAAAGTTGTTTTTCCAACACCTGTTTGACCCAATAATAATATATTTATATCTCCTGTTGATGTAGAATTTCTTGATCGTACTTCAGACATGTTTTTAACTGATCTGAAAAAAACTTTTATTGAGTCATAAACAACAAAAAAAAACGTAAGTTGGAAAAAAATTCTTTTGTGTTACTTGAATAAGAAAAAGAAACGAAAAAGAAACGCATTACACTTTTACATTATGACGATTATAAGAATTCTTTTTTTTGAAGCATCCAGTCAGACATGTAACGAAAAAGTTGACGTATTTATGCGTTGAGAGCATATCTTTTAACATGCTAAAACAACAATTTTTTTCGAAGACAAAACGAATTTGACAATACTAAATTTCATTGATTTAGCTTTTTTCTTATCACAAACAAAATTTTAACATGTAAAATTCGTGATACTTCTAATAGATGCCTCACTATAAAGTAGTTGACTGCGAATAAAATAAAACAAGGAAAAAGTAAGATAAAAAAAGTCTAAAGTACATAAGGTCAACACAGATTAAATAAAAATGATAAACAAAAATTTATTGTTGTAACTTGAAGAAATGTAAAAAAGAAAACAATATGGTTCATTTATTCGTATTCTTTTATTTTATTATCAAATTTTTCATAATATAAATAGTTTATTTTTAATAAACATGAAATGGAAGAACGATGTTTACAACAAAATTTCTATCTGTTTTTACGATTAACAATATCTTTTAAATTATTAAGAATATCTGGAGAATTATAACCTGTTGGTAAATCAACAAATTGTTCATCACTTTTAGTTGCTTGTGCTCGACCTTCTTTCATTCGTCTAACTTGTTCTTCAATTAATTTTCCATTTATTGGTAAATCATAAAGTTTTTGTACTAAACTAAACATTTCTTCAATTTGTGCAGTATTATCAAATCGATCTGTTGATGTTGAATTATTTTGTGAAGAAATACTTGACGTATATAAATTAAATTCTTCTGTATAATCTTTAATCATTTGTTCTAAACCTTTAATAATATCTGTATTATCAATTCCTGTTGATTTTTTTTGTTTTTCTTCATTAATAAAATGTTGAAGATATTCAATAATATCATCATTAAATGGTGTTATTGAATTTTGTTTTAAAAATTGTGAAAGTTTAACACAAATTTTTCTTATTGCTTTTTCTTCATTTCTTAAATCCGTTATTCTTTTATCAATTATTGTCATAATTGATTGAGGTGTTTGTAATGAATTAGAATTATTTATTTCAATATATGTTAAATTTCTTTCATATTTATATGTTATATGCATGTGTTTTGTCCAAGAACAACCACAATTTCGACATGAACCTATAATAAAAATAAGAAAAAAAAATTTCTTCGAAATAATTAAAAATATAAATCAATAAAAAAAATTAATATTAAAATAAATCGACAAACCTGTTTGTCTAAGTGCTCGACATCGTTTAATAATTGGATGGCCAATACATTCTTGTACAACTTTATGTAATGAACAACCAACATGACAATTACTTTTATAATCAATTCGTTGTTCACCATTAACATTAATAATTTCGGTACATTTTTCATTAACACAAACAGTAAGTCTTTGTTGAAGTGGAATAAATTTTCCAGTTTTTTGTGGAATTTTATTTGAAACTTGATTTGTTGAATTATTTAAAATTTTTTCTTTATATTGTTTAGCCATTAAAATATTTTCTTGAATAAGTGTAACAATTTCAGCTACTGGTCGAGAAAGTTTATGTATTAATAATTGAACTTCATTTAATGATTGCATATCTTTAATAGCATGAAGATCACATTGAAGAATACGAATAATTAGACGAGAAAATTCTTCGACAGATTTCTTCCAACTTTCACCGTAATTTTTTTTATCTTTCATTAAAAAATTTAAACCTTGTTTACAAACAGCTAAAAAACGAAATGATTCATTATCAAACATAAATGTATTTTCCATACTAAATGGAACTTTAACACCACTCTTTTCATGAAGCTCTCTAAGAAGAACTTTTAATATTGTTGTTGTTTCACCTGGTCGATAAAATGTTGATCGTGAATTTGTAAATACAAACATAATATTATCTTTTGCATTAACATGTAAATGTCTTAATAATTCTTTAATACAATAACGAAAAAAAATATTTAATCGTGTTACTGCTGGTTTAAGTAGAATACAAATTCCATTTAAATGTTCATAATTACTTATATAACTAAGAATATGTTCAAAATTTCTTGCTTCATGATCAACACTTCGAGTATCACCAACACCTGGTCCATCAATTAAACGTATTGACCGATTGCCTATTGTAAATATATAACTTCGACATGACTGAGTTGATGATTGTCCATCAACTTCACAATTTTCATTATCATTTGGCGTTCCAACAAGAATTTTTGTACTATCAAATGTTTCATTGTCTGTTACTGTAAATGCAGAAGGGATTAAAAATTTTAATTCACCATTTAATGCGTCATCAAGTGTATTATAAAATAGACAATTAAGAAATGCATTAACAAATGTTGTTTTACCAATACCAGTTTCACCTAATAATAATATGTTTATATCTGTTTCTGGGGAACCTCGATCACGACGATTGTAAGACATTTTTATATATCTTAAATAAAAATATTGTTACTTTTATAATAAGTTTTTTCTTTTTTTTATGACTTGGAATCTCTCCTTTGTTTTCGTTCTTGTGCAATTTTCGTTTCTTCCTAGGAAAGAAATCTTTTTTTCTCTCTCCTACTTGGTTTTTTCACAAGAAGAGATGCGTCATATTTTTCTTGCTTTATTGTTTTAAATGGACTTTTCTTGTTTGATCACGCGTATTTGACGAGAAAAAAAAGCGACATCCGAACAGAATGTGTTTTTTTTACCAGGTGAGATATAGAAGTTTTGAATTCTATAATGAAAAAAAAACAGAATTTTCTGCCTATCCTATGATATTTCTATACCTAACAGATTCTTTCAATAATACATACTAATAACATGAATTGTTTGATCTATTGAAAGAGATTCTATTAAAACCATAGTGTTAATAACATCATATTTTACTTACACAGGAATTTTATTGATCATATTTAAAATATCTAATTAAAAATGCAGTGATAAATATATAAAATTTGATATTATTGTTAACTATTAGATTATGTTTAGATTTTTCATATTTAAATTTGTTTTGAATAGATAAATAAACAAAAGAGTCTCTTTAACTTGTTTCATCATTCCATTAATAATAGATTTCGATGTTTAAGAAACAAAAAAAGAATTACTGAATTTTTTAAATTTCAATCAACATTTGATTTTTTCTTGAATAGGTTATTTTAATTCCAATTTCTTCATCACTTTGATGAAATAATCTAATTAGTTTTTTTTTGAAATTAAAATTAGAAAAATCTGTGTGTAACATTTCTTAACAATAAAAATTCGAGTTTTTCTCTAATATCAACATATTAAATAATCTATCTGTTGAAAATCTATTTTTCTATTCGATTTTTTTTTCGTTCAACTGCTAAAATCAAATGAAATCGTAAAAAAAGTTATTTTGAACATTAATTTTAACTAACGAAGAAATTATCCAAACTGTAACTCGCCATTTGAGTTCACCGACCTTTGAAGTCGAGTTACGACAGTTTTATTAAATTTTTAACCCAATTTTAGGTATGTACAGGAAAATCAAATAATGAAATTTTGACCTGAAATCCAGCCTATAGGTAAGTTTACTGTCTCGAAAGTTTCACTCGAGACGAATGTTCATTTATCGAGATATTGAGCTCAAATGGCGGATTACAGCTGTGACAGTTTCTTCGTAAGAAATAAATCTCTAAACTTTAAATAAAATGATCATAAAAAGATAAATTTATGTACTTGTTTTGTTCACTTTAGTCTTATGACAATATTGATATGTTTATTTGTTTTATTTTATATTGATCTTTTTAGTAAAACATATCGACAAGACAATTAGATGGCAGTTAGAAAAATGCTTCACGCAGTGATCTCTGAAGGATCTGGAAAAGGTTCAGATGCTAATGAGACGACTCCATTTAATATAGAACGTATTGCCATTGATCAACGTGGCTTTATTGGATCATTCTATGATGGATATGAAGATAATATCAAGGGAAAATTGGGTATTAAAATGAAAACTCAGTTCTATGACGCACCTAAAGAAATGAAATGTATATCAATCAATGGACGTACACCTGAATGTCAAAATTTACTTAAATTTGTTGATATTGATCATCAACAACGATTAAGTATCTTATTAGAAATGACTCGTGCAACTGGAATAGCTTTGCTTATTAATTATTCTCAATTGATTGATAAACAAACTCGATTTTTTTATATTTATCAAGAGTCATATAAAGAATTAGATAAAGATCATTTACATCAATTCAAAAAATCGGTAATAATATCAACATGTGAAACATTTGCAACCCACATTATAACTGAAATCATTTGGGGTATTCATCTTCTTGTTATTCTACAATTACCTCTTAATAAAGAAAACGAAATCGATATTTTGTTGAAGACATTAAAAGAAAGTATAATTAATAATAAGCCTATCCTAACAATAAACTCACAACAACAAGCTCTGCTGGATCAAATCATCACGACTACAGTTTATTCAAATATAGATGATTTAACTAAAATAAAAAAGTTACAACATATTTATGAAGCAATAATAGAATTGCAAAGAGATGATAAAATATGTGGACGATTAAAATATATTCTTACTCCTATTCAATGGTTCTACGATCATCATGGTATACATTTGCCAAAAGTATTTTTATGTAAATCACATGAGATTGAAAATCTTGAATATTATTTACTTCAACAAAAATCTGAATTAAAAGTATTGAGTTTTCGTGTCAATCATAATTTATTTGAATTATTACAAGATAAATATCAAAGACAATTCAACGATATTCAAGAAGAGCTTTCAGAATTGCAAGTTTTACATATGAAAGATATTGAACGACTTTATAATGTAGTTTTGAAAATTCGAAATGGAACGATAACACAAAGTTTAATAGAGAAAGAAGTGAGTTTGGATCCACCAAAAGAAATTCAACGATTGATTAAAAATATTACTAGCCATATAGATGAATTGGAATTCAAAGGAAACTTAATGAAACTACTACAAAATGATGGATTTGAATACTGCAATGTTGCAGATTTAGGCATTGATGATAGATTAGAAGGAAATCAAATCATCGATATGCTTTTTGGCAATGATTCTCATAAAGCTTTATTTTGTTCAACCGATAAGTTGAGAAATGATAATCAAGAAATTTGGACTAAATTATATTCTGAAATGATCGAGGAAAACAAAAAGAATCCTCAACTACGTCTTGTCTATGCTGATTTCACTTATTCAACATACAAATTAAAGAAGATGACTACCACCTTATCGAAAGATATGAAAGCAAATCAAAATCCATCGAATTCTCAATCATCTGAAAGTGATAGAAAAAGAAAAACTCCTTCTCCAACGCCACCACCATCGTCAACTGATGAGTTTATTAATATACTTCTTCTTGGAGAGTCTGGTGTTGGTAAATCAACTTTCATTAATGCTTTTGCTAATTATCTTCATTTTCAAAGTCTTGACGAAGCTCAACATGAAAAACCAATTGTTATAATACCTGTTTCATTTATAATGACAATAAATGATAATTTTGATGAAAAAATAATTAAATTTGGTGAAATTGATTCAAATGAAAATCATAATGACAAAGGTCAATCAGTAACTCAAAAATGTAAATCTTATATTTTTAATATTTCTAATGAAAAAAAATTACGTTTTATTGATACACCTGGTTTTGGAGATACACGTGGTAATCAACAAGATAATCTTAATATGGAAGAAATATTTTCTTTTCTTCATAATATTTCTTATTTAAATGGTATATGTCTTTTATTTAAACCTGAAATTCTACAATTAAATTCTTATTTTTATTCTTGTTGTGTTCAATTATTTGAATATTTCGGTGAAAAAATTCGTGATTATTTTATATTTTGTTTTACTAATGCACGTTCAACATTTTTTGCTCCAGGTAATACACGATCATTCTTAAAAATATTCTTTGAATCATATCCTGCAATGAAAATTCCCTTGGAAAAAAAGAATACATTTTGTTTTGATAGCGAAGCATTTCGATATTTGGTTGCAATACAAAATTCAATTGAATTTGATCAAAATGATAGAAATGAATTTGAACAAAGTTGGTTAAGATCAGTTACTGAATCAAAACGTTTTCGTGATTTTCTTTGTAATCAACATTCATATCGTAAAAATAATGAATGGCAATCAATACAAGATGCTCAATTTCAAATCAATTTTATGATTCGTCCAATTTTAGAAACTATTCGAAATATTTTTCGAAATATTCTTTTATATAATCTTAATTTATCAATTAAACTTTCTGCAACACATACAATTCCATTATCAATGATATGTTATAAATGTAATCGTAATCCGGAAAAGTTTGATCAATTTTGGATTTTACCAGATCATATACATAACACACTAAATATGGTAAGTTTCATTTTATTTTTATTTAGATATTATAGTTATAGTAAAATGAATGAGTTTTAATAGAATATTTTTGAAGTACTTATCTTTTTTTAAACATTCTATTGTAAAACAGAATTAGAGAATATTAAAGTTCAATACACAGTGAATAATAAGATAGTAATAACTTGTTATTTAAAAACAAATTCTATAGACTAAAATCATTTTATAATAGATATTCTCATGAAGATTTCATTTATTGAAATAAATTTCAGAAATATCATTTAAGAACATGATCATTGTACAAAATACAAAAAAAAATAGAATTTGACTTTTTTTTAATTGGCAGAAATGACAACAGAATTTCTTTTTGATTCGTTTCAATTTTATTTGTAATTTTTGAAATCTTACATCATCTCATGTGACTTTATTATATCTATTGACCTAGTGATTTGTCTTTAATAAAACATAAGCATAATTTTACATATCAAAGTATCATCCGATTTGATATCATTCAAATTTAAGTCACGAAAATGTTTATAAAAAATTCGAAATAATGGCAGTTGCTTGAAAGACTACCAAGATCATTGATATAATCGTGCGGATTAGATAATTTTAACAATCATGAACTATAAAGATGTGTCAATCAGCAATAGAATATATGGTAGAAAAATTTTTCATGTACTGTACTCTTAGCTACCTCTGTCCTGCTATACAGAACAGTATGTAAGATGGTACGATCATCCTATACTATATTTTTTGAGAATATGTTGGAAAATGAAGAATAATGTTTCATTTGTATGAGTCATCGATATATTTTGTCATCTGAAACGTAGACAAAGTTGTTTGATTGGTATATATGTTCTTCGCCGAAACATACTTCATCGAAAGTACTTTTTGGCCACGGAGGACGTCCCAAATCTGAGAGCAAAATGAGTTGACCTCTTCATGCTGAAGAAGCCTATATAAGAATTAAAGGGCTCGCAACAGTCTAAAGCGTTCCACGAGTCTTTCGGCGAAGAGGGTTACAACCGATTTTCCATCCTTTTCTGATGAATATTCACCTATGATAGTAAAACAATGAGTACATTTTATTGTATTATGAAATAGATATTCAAATTTTTCTACAATAAATTGAATCTTGGTCACTCTTTATTTACACTTCTTTCTCGAGTGATGAAGACATGTAGCAGATATTTGCCGTTTTCATCATAACGAAAATTATCCTGAATCGAAAAATTCAGATCTGATCTCTATATACAATGCTAAATCTCATATATTTATAGTGTACATCTAATGAACAAAAGTTAATCGAATATAGACTTGGCTATGAAGCTGCCGACCATCAAGTAAATGAATCGATTAATAAATTGAATGATTATCTCAAAGTTCTCTGTAAATCATGCGCAAGATTTACTCAGTTTTTAATGAAAACTTCTCAGACTCAACAAAATGATCCATTCTTATTTGGCATATTCAGAATGATAGATGAAGAAAATTTTATTTGTCAAAAAGAAACATCAAACGATTTAAATAAAAAATTAATCGATCAATTGAACCAACTAAAAATAGAATACGAACAACAAATTAATGAAATAGCATCAAATGAAAAGATCAAAGATTTATCTAACATCTATCAGTTAATAAACTTAGTAAATGATATACCGATGGTTAAAGTACAAATAGATGCTATCAAAAGCTATCAACAGTTTGTGCTGGAAAATAATTAACATAATATTTAAATTAATACAACTTTGACAGTATTAGATTAATAATCTGTTTCTTGAATAATGAATCCACTTGCATGATTTTTATTCATTTTTTAATATCATCAAGAAAACCAAATTTGTTTTTTTTGAATAAATTTTTAGCGTACAATTAGAGAATTTCATTTCATTTGCAAGTATACATATATCTTGATTATTTATTTTAAGTATTGTCAGTACTTGTTTTTTTTCTAACTGCAAGAAAAACAAATCTACTTGGATGCAGTCGTTGACAAGCTTTGTTTTATAGTAGTTTCAGTTTGACCGATTAGCAATTGTAATCTGCACTGCTGGTGTTTTTCTTTAAAGAGTTCTTTGGGCTTTCATTGAATATGAGATTATCTTCGTTCACATTTTACGACGTTTTTGTTTTGATGATTTTCATTTATTTTCAAAGATAAGCGAGGTCAAAGACGATTGTTATATTATAGAATGATGAGCTTTAGGCATCAAACGACGAGCAGCGAAAGACAGACATGATCGAAGCTAATAAATAATTTTTACATTTAGTACCGTTGAAACATCAGTATGCAATGATTGTATCTGCTGCGGCAGCATACTCAGCAACAGATGTCCAATTAGTGGAATCTATTACACATGTAACAATACAGAGGGTAGTATAGTTGGCAATCACAAAGCTGTCTGACGATGAATCGAAGTAAAAGGCTGTAGAGGGGTGTAATTCAACGGCAACTGTTTCTCTTCTGTTGGCTCCTACAACTAGAGTTTTATTAGTTGCATCTAATGTATGGATCGATATGCAATGAGTGCCAGTGTCTGCTATGTAGAAAATATCCGAAGATAGATGAGGGTATACGTATGAGTCTTCTCATTACACAATCACAACTGCATTGATCAAGAGCATTCGACTTTCTCAATTATTGTTGATATCATTTGATCGTATTGAAGTGTTTGATGTTATGGACTTGTCTTCTGTCACAAGCGATACCAACAGTGATATCATAGCTTATTTCAACGAGGTATAGGTGGATGTGGGTGTAGATGCTGGAATATTCAAATCCACACACACACTCTAAAACAATAGGTAACTGCATAACTCAACCGATCATCCATAATCTCAATGGAAGAATAGTCGGATAAATCATCGTACACGAACATGTATGGAATCATATAAAAGAGCAAACAAAACGAAGTCATCATGAAAATTGTCGAACTCAATCCCTGATGAGATCACATTTTCGAGTGTTTGAATGGTATTCCAATATTCATTTTCATCTAAAGATTTACAAATAGAAAAGCAGACAGTCACTCAATCGAATTTTGCACAATAATCTTTGAAATTCAAAGCAACTACGCGAAAAATCTTTCCGTCTAATACAGGCTCTTTCGTCTCTCCTTTAGCACTAATTGCTTCAAAACAAAGTTCTTTCAGAATATCACTGAAAACATTATGGATGTCAATAGACAAACTGCACTTACGAGGGAACCACCCGAGGTGACACCTTCTGTTTTGACTCATTTATATCTCATTCGATCAAGTATATTGCGATAATAGAAAGCCTAAAGGAAGTTTTCTCCATGGCTCTTCCTTCAAAAGTTATCGTCATTTTACTGAATTTTCCAGCTATTCCTATGTATATACCAATAAAACTAAACTATGGAATTTTGACCTGAAATTTCGTCGATAGTTATGTCTAAGGACCCTTAGAATATCCTGAAAGTTTCAGCCAAAAGGAATGTTCCTTTCTAGAGATAATGAACTTTTATGTGAGCTCAGTTTTTAGGACCAATTAGAGCAAACGACTGCTTTTTGAAAACTCGACATCTCGAGAAACGAACATTCCTTTTGGCTGAAACTTTCAGGATATTCTAAGGGTCTTTAGACCTAACTATCGACGATATTTCAGGTCAAAATTCCATAGTTTAGTTTTATTGGTAAATACATAGGAATAGCTGGAAAATTCAGTAAAATGACGATAACTTTTGAAGGAAGAGCCATGGAGAAAACTTCCTTTAGGCTTTCTATTATCGCAATATATTTGATCGAATGAGATATAAATGAGTCAAAACAGAAGGTGTCACCTCGGGTGGTTCCCTCGTTAGGGAGAAAAGTACCCTTATCGACTATCATTCTATACTTGTCTAAAAATCAGTAAAAATTTGATGATCCAAGTTTAAAAGTATAATGACAATAGTTTAATAGTTTTGGCTTTTTCAAAAAAAAAATTTAATTCATCGAATGAAAATTGTTCGACAGTATTGAAACTAATCGAGTGATTTTAATTTTTTTCTGAAAGAACTAAATTCATGGAATCAAAATGGTGAATAAGTAATAAAACTAAAGAGCTGATATTATGGTTTTTTTAAATAATCATATGCATAGAATGAGAATTGTTGTATAAGTAATAAAATTAATGAGATGATATGATGTTTTTATAAATAATCAAATTTATTACATGAGAGTAGTGCGAAAGTAATAAAACTAATGTAGCAAATTTTCGTTTTATTTTTAACATAGTCAAATGGTTTATTTATTTTTCTGAAGAAAATTCTCAAAATAACAATTTAAACGAATCTTTTTCTCATTTTTTAATACTCTACAATCGAATTTTCTCTAAGAATAATATTTTTCTCTAATCGAGTCTGAATACACAACGATTACATACGATGAATGAGTGAAAAAATAATCAATCAAGAAAGAAAAAACGTATAATGACGAAGATATATGAAAGAGAAGACGAGAAGAAATACACAGGCATTAATACAGATGATGATAATATACTGTACGGTTGCAGGGACTAAAGTATGAAATGCCCATTCATATACGTGTCATTTGTCATTTAGACAATTTTTTAATTCAAAGTAGTCTTTTGATATTGTTTTTTAGTTTTTTGGATGTATAATCGAGAGATGCAAGCAACGTTGAAAGTATAATAAAAAAAACACCTGTATGCAAATGGTACATATATATATATATATCTGTACTTTATCACATTCATGTCATATACATTTTATTAATAGTTTTTGTTTGTTCCATATCGAACGAATGGCGGCAATTCGGTATATACATGCATGTTTGCTTCTTACATTCGTTACTGTTGGTTTGAGCAGTATGTTTCAAGATGATTCTGATGAACAAGAAATAGACACAGTGCTTAATTTTATGACACGTGCTGCTTGTCCTGATCATAAAATGTGTAGATCAAAGTGGGGTTATTGTGGAACGGGACACGAATATTGTGGTGACGGTTGTACAGCGGGACCCTGTTTTGGTGGTAATAACGGTGGAAATGGAAACAATGGCGGCGGTGGTGGTGGTGGTGGTTCCATCATCACAGATCAAAATTTTGCCTGTGCATTCAACACAATAGACGCTGGAACGAGACAGAGCCGACTCAATGGCCTTAGAAATTCAGGTTGGAAACCATCGAACAAGGATGAAGCAGCTGTTTTTCTTGCTCATGTCTTCCACGAAACTGATGGTCTCAAAACAATTCGAGAATATTGTGCTCCAGGTAAAGATTTATTAAAAAACAACGAATTTAAACATTTCTCCTTAGTTATTATCATGCAACGAACTCATTTAACTCATCATTTTGTTTCATGTTACTTTAGAAGATTTATGAATAATAGGAACATCTCTTGTAATTTATCTGTTCGTTTAAAACATTAAGATTTGACAAATTAGAATATTGGTGAAATTGAAGGATTATCTTAACTTTGACATAGTTTGATCGGAATTTTATGAACTCCATAATAAAGGTTTTTAATAGTACAGAAAAGAATTCATACTGGAAAGAAAACGTGTGCAGATATGGTTGTAGATGTCAGCGAAGAGAAGGTCTACTACACTACACATACCACATACCCTTCCTTTAAAACAAGTTTAAAAATTAGTAAAATAACGCCTTTTTATGACTTTGCATGAACTAAAAAAGAAGGATTTAATTTGAAAGAAAACTCGATCGAGTTAAATTTCAATACTTTCATATAAATCCTGAGTAAAAATATTGATTCATATAATATTAATATATTTTAAAAAGAGAAAATTTGGTATTCTAATCAGAATTGAATATCAATTAGGTTGTGGTTCTCATTATGCTGGATCGTGGTGTAGTATTCAAGGTACGCCTGGTAAATTGTACTATGGTCGTGGGTGGTTCCAACTATCGTGACCATGCAACTACTATGCAGCTGGAAAAGCTTTAGGTATAGATCTGCTTAATAATCCAGATTTAGTTGAACAACAACAGGATATAGCGGTAAAAACTGCAGTTTGGTTTTATAATGCAAATAATATGGCTGGACCAGCTAAACAAGGTGACTTCGCAGCCACTACTCGAATCATTAACGGAGCATTGGAATGCAATAGAGGATCAGGATATAATAATCAGTTGACTCGAGTAGCAACATACAAACGAATTCGACACTGCTTTGGCCTTGGAGAACCACATAGAAATCCAGTGTGTTAATCATACAGTTTTTTTTTCTTGATCAATATAATAAAATTTTATTGTGTGCTACCGTGTTTGGCACAAATCTGTGCTCACAGGTAGTTCACAAAATATTCGGACACCTAACTATATATTTTTTTTTCTATTGGTCGATTTATTCAACAATGATAATGAATTAATTTTCCTTTCTTCACAAAGGATCTAAACTTTCATTTTCATATGGAATAGAGAACAAATTGAAAGCTATTAAGTACTCAAGAGAAAATATATTTGTTCGCTATTTAAAGAGCAATTTTAATAATTGTAAGGGGTACCAAGCGCAACTCCTTTGAGGCCTATTGAGAGTACCAAGGGTAACTTCTCAAGGTGTATTGGGAAGTATCTTCCTTGAAATAGGAGAGAGAAAGTCTGCTGAAATCTGATTGCCTTAGAGGAAAGATTCTTACGAGGGAACATATCCAACTGATTCCGAGCTTTCGGCTTCATATTTTGGCTACAGATAGGCCTCAGTGAGACTAAGAAAATCCTAGAAGCGTTCGTCCCCATGGGCTGCTGGGCCAAAGTTATAGCCATTTTACTGAATTTTTAGCCTACGACACGGTATTCACAGTAAAGTTAAATGAAGGTATTTCGGTCTGATATTCTGCCCATAAACACGTCTAATGATTCCTATCATGTACCAAAATTTTCAATCAAAACGGATGCTTCCTTCTTGAGATATTCGATTTTCAAAAATGTCTGCCTATAACAGGTAGGTCACAATAACGGAACTATCCTGCAAATTGAATATCTCAAGAAGGAAGCATCCGTTTTGATTGAAAATTTTGGTACATGATAGGAATCATTAGACGTGTTTATGGGCAGAATATCAGACCGAAATACCTTCATTTAACTTTACTGTGAATACCGTGTCGTAGGCTAAAAATTCAGTAAAATGGCTATAACTTTGGCCCAGCAGCCCATGGGGACGAACGCTTCTAGGATTTTCTTAGTCTCACTGAGGCCTATCTGTAGCCAAAATATGAAGCCGAAAGCTCGGAATCAGTTGGATATGTTCCCTCGTTAGCCAATGAAGTTTCACCGACGATTTTCTCTCTTATTTTCAAGACAAAAAATGGAGGTTCTGTAAGCGTTTTGATAGAGGACTCATACTAACTCCTGTCTAGCCCACGAAACTCTATGTTTTACCCTTGAAATCAGGGAAAAAACGCGTGCTGAAGTCTGATTGACTGAGAGAAAGGATTCATAACCAATTAGATTTCAGCAGCGTGCTCTCCTCCCTTACTTTAAGGACACAACATGGTTTTTTTCGGGCGAATCAGAGGTTAGTAGGATCCTCAATCAAAAACCTCATAGAAAGGTTGTGGGGTATGGGTGTAAGGTATGTGTCAAGGAAAGAAGAACATCATCCACACACACACTTGAAAAAATGGTATGAACACTAAACCAATGACGATTTCGTAATAAACCTTTTTGGAGTTTCGTAGGAGATCTATGATACCTCTAAAAAAGCTTCCTAAACTGCTAAAAATAATTTTGAAGGTGACTTAAATTCATACGAAACCTTTTTAAAGGTTTCGACTTTTGAAACAAAATGGTTCGGTTCGGCATTTTTTTTTTCAGTGCATACCCACACCCCCACCCACCCTTTTTGCTGTACACATTGTATCATAGGTATAAATAGTGACTACGACCGGGTACTGGTGTGGATTTTAGACCAACTAGTCTACCGTTCAATACCAACAGGCCGACTTTTTAACAGTAGAACCACCAAGCAGCTATTCGGTCCGGTCAGATTTTTTTACAGTGGTTCCAGTACCGGTGGTCGAAAAAATAAACCCGTTCCATCTATATTCATACTCATACATCCACACACCCTCCCTAGCAGACTTTTCATATGCCATCCATTGGAATAGCTATTGGGTCCAAAACTGTCTGATAATATCCTTAAGCAAGATCGAAACGTACCAAGGTTTGCTTGAGCCACCCGTATTCACTGAAGTCAATTATTGAGAATAACAATATTCATGTTTAGAGTGATGACACGAGCCTATTGACTGTTTGTATCGTAAAAACAATCCCATGTTACTTTTATTGCGCTTCTTTTCTTCTATGAAGATTACTTTTCTGGAGAAAAATTAATTACTGAAGTAAGCGTTGGAGCACTATCGAATTTCCATGTATTGCGGGATCGATCGTTGCGCTTCTACACTATCAACGAATGCGAAAAACATCACCTATTTATTAAGTATAAAGGTAATTGCAGCCACTATTCTGTGTCATTTAAACGCAAAAGATGGTCTCAATAGTTATTCATTGTTTCGTATTCGTTCTATTCAAGTAATTCTAAAAACTATTATTTTCGTATTCATTTAATGTTGAATAATATTTCTTTAAAGATTCACATATTTAATTTTTGTTTCGTTTTAAATATCTTGCTTTTCATGTAGTATATCGGCAACTCTAGTGAAATCTCAAATATGCCACGAAACTTCTCAATATGATCGATGTTCATCGAATCCTGGGTGCGTCTGTTTCCATATAGCAGGTGCTATTGATATTGGCATTTGTGCCGATCAATTCGAAGACTGTTCTATGCTAGTTGCATGCGAACGCTTAAACCATGCTTGCTACGAACCGGAACATAGATGTGTTCATCATCCACGATGTCAAGATTTACCTGTTTGTTATCCGGTGCCGAGTTTCAATCAACAACTATGTCCACTGGTGATAAGTAAGAGAATAAGCCGTGATCTGCAGATTAAAGTGAAACTCGAATCTTTCGTAAACTTATTTCTCCATCAACCGCAGCCTCTTCCACGTACAATTCACGTTCGTCTGATAACAATGAGAGATAGTTGAGAAACCTTTGAAAAATGCAGATAATACGTGGCGGATATGAAATGAGTGACAAGTATCGGTAAACAAGTTGTATCTCTTCTCCTGGATTATATCAACTAATCGGAAACACAGAGTCTGTTGTAGTTATGCATATATATTTATATATGGCGATACTTCAAGACACTTGGAACATTTTAATAAACACCAGAGACTAAAACAAAATAAAAAATTGATCTTTCGTTCTTATCCAGATCCACAGAACGCAGCATAAGTTGGAATCTCAGTAGGGCATATCGATTATTTTCTGCTTCTCTACTCTCTATTCATGATTTTCCATGTATAGTCGACAGATTCATGTAAAAATAAAGTTCAATGAATAGTCGTTTTTTTCAAAACAACCATATAGTTAATAGTTTGTGCATAAGAAAATATACCCATGACTCCCTTTATCATATTTCCAATGAGTTAATATGTGAAAATAAGGACTAACCATTTAACTGTTACACAGTGATCGCCAGAGCTAAACAGAAGCTCTACTGATTGAATGAGATGAATATATCACCAATATCCAGTACTGTAACTGTGTATGTAAATTATTTTTTCACGACTTCTAGCATCTTGACTCAGATATCTCAGTAAGATGCTGAAGAACATAGAATGGATTTTAGCCGATTCCACATTAAAATAAAATATGTTGCATGTGTCGTATTTTGCGACACAATGTACGACATATTCTATCCAGCAACGGTGCGACACATTCCGAAAACAGGATTCAAATCTAGTGTTTAGCACATTTTAGTTGTTTCAGTAGCCAAAACTAATGATTTGTTTTCAATTTAATTCGCATTAGTGATATCCATTCTCAAAACCTGAGACGGTCCTATCTTGACATATAACCATCTTGAATTCATCTGAACCCGATCAGATTGTTCAAGACAGTCTAATCTCGATCAAAGATAGATCTATTGAAAACTTCTCGACCACCAACTAATTGAGATATATTCAAGAAAAAAGAGCATGAAAATACTCAGGTTTAATATATTCAATGTGGCTATTGGCTATATGTACATATGTAGCTTTGTGTATAAAACAAAACAGTGAATGAATTGCCAGCAGCTAGCCCACGATACCTTTAGAATATAACAAATTGTTGTAGTAGTCTACAACAGTATAACTAGCGATACATCAGTGTGACACATTTTCTTTTAGTGTACATCCTTGTTACATCCACTTCTTTGAGAAACAATTCCTGAATATGAGAAATTTTCGAGATTCATTTCTTAAGAAAAGAATGCAAAGATTCAAACTGTTTGATGTTGAGATGGACGATCCATCTCTTCACTATTAATGTACTCTTTCGAATATACTTTTAAATTCCTTGTACTCACATTATTGATATGAAGGTAGAATATTTTAATGAGTTTAGGTGAACACGTGAGCTGATGGGCACTTTATGTAAAATTTTGAAATCACCGACTTTATACTTCGAAGACCAATCTTCGACTGCAACAGCAGCCACTGCACATAAATCTTTGCTTATATTCACAATGGAACAGAAATAGAAAATTCGAGTAGAATAAGGTTTCAGTCGTATTTTCCTTGTTTTAATTGCTCTTGACAAATTTTAAAAGGATACCTGAAAGAATGAGCCAAACAATCTATAGTGTTCTAGATAAGACGATTTTTTTGCCATGACACAAATTCTTGGTCTGTTCCCAAGATTTCTCAAAATGAAGAGAGCAGTCGCGGCGAGTTATGTCAGTTTTTCTCAAATTGGTTCAGTTCAGTTCCATTTCGATTTGATTCAGCCGAATCATATTGAAGCAAATCGTTGGAATTTTTACTTCGATTTAGTCTCGGATGAATACAGTGATTTTCTATTGAAGATCGATTTTCGAAAAAACTAATTCGATTAGCAAACCATTAGAGACTGTCGTTTGAATTTGAAACATTCCTAACACTTCATCAAAAACTTGAGTGCATCGAGTCCTATATCATATTGGATGTCACATCCTAGACTATCTTCTTTATTTATGCGAATGTTCTATGATAATGAATAGCTCCGAACACTACAACTTCAACTTCAACTTCAATTTCAATTACAACGACAACTACTGCTCAACAACTGGGTAAGCGTTGGATAAACACTTCTTGATCTTGTGGAATGCTAATTTTTAATCAAACATATATAGTTCATTTGTAGGCAAAATTACTCTCAGCTAGGGTGGGTGTGGACGAAGAGAATGACTCATGTGTTTACTAACACAAATTCACACCCACATCCTCTCACGCCGCGTCCAACCCCGACCTTTCCTTACAATATTTCTAATTTACAAGATAATGTCTTTACTATCTGTGCACTTATCCATAAAACTGCAAATGAAGCTTCTAGCATCCTACATGATGCTGCAAGAATCCCAGAAAAATCTTCAAGCATCTCAGACCATCCAACTATCATTCCAGATCATCCCTCTAGCATCCCATATTATGCTTCTAACCTCTCTCTCACAATAAAAGACTCCGAATCTTCTATTATGTTCAAGCGTAAAAATTATTCTGGGGGGGCTTGTATTATGTTCTATTTTTTTACAATTTTTAATTTAAAAAGTTTTTCAGAAAACCTGAGCGATTTTCGAGATTTGAAAAGGGATTTTCAGGAATTGACAAACTAATACGTAATGTTGAATTCATCATTTTAAGAGTTCTGGCTTAAAATGCTGAAAACTAGAAATATTTTGATGTAAATAAACTAACTAAAATTCCTAACTTTCAAAAATTTAATTAATTAAAGGGATCTTCTACTACGTACGGCGCATATTTTCTCCAAGAGAGGGACGAGGGTCTTCTAATATGGAGGGGAGGCGGCTACAATCTGACAAGGTGATTCTAGCATCTCACAGAACTTTTTCAGTATCCTAGATGGTTCTTCTATCTTTCCAGACCACACTTCTAGCATCCCTCACTCCGCCTTTAGCATTCTTGCTAGTGAATCTAGCATGCAGGAGATCTTTTAATCTGCTCAGGTTCCCTTTGCAGCATCCCAGCTGATCGTACCTGGGGAAATGATTTCCTGGAGTGTCTACCAAATCCTTAGTGCTTCTATCATATATTTCAAAAATGACGTTCTTCTAAAATTAGCAAACCAAATCCGATAGATTTTTACTCCAACACCTTCTGTCAGGATTTTTAGTTTTTCTTATAAGATAATAGATCTCAGCAAGAACTTCCAAAAATGGTTTGCAAAGACAGTCATCTTCATTTTTATTTCGAATGAGAAACAGGAAACTTTTCGCAGATGCTTTAATAAGTACTTATCGCTAGAAATTTATATTTGCGAAGAGTACCTTTTTTATGGTTTAAAGCATATTAGGGAAGCAATAATTGTCCACAGTTGCACCGAATTCCCTTCGAAGAAGAATTTTTCCTTTGCACCTAAGCAGACAAGAATTTTCTAAAACGCGTGTAAACGTCGAGAATTACACTTTTTTGAGCGTTTAAACGCGTGTGGAAAAAAAACTGGTCGTGGTAAACACCGTGAATTCCGGATTTTTCTGCATAAATACGCGTAATTTCTTTGCATCGAATATTTATAGGCGTGTAAACGCTTTGGAAGCTACATTTCTGACTGTGTAAACGCTCACTCAATCACATACCCGTTTAAATCATCACAAACTCCAACTTTCCTGGGTTTTTCCACAGCATTTTTATTACCGCTTTTTGGATGATCATTCCTAACCATGGTGACGCTTCGAAAATGAGCAAATTGAGCGATTTCTCAACGTAAAAAATATAATCTTATTCATTTTCCAAATCTGAGCGTTAAAACGGCCCCTTACAGAAAATTATGAACACTCCAAGTAAATAAAATTATCGCGTGTTTTTTTGTTTCAAACAACAAACGTTTAAACGGCCATCATGGTAAAAAAAAGTATACGATACAGAAAAAAAAAATTTTAGGCGTAGTTTTCTTTCAAAATATGATCGTTTAAACGGTCAGTTTTTTTTAAAAAAGTAATCGTTTGACGAAATCAACTTACTTATGCGTAGTTTCGTTAAGATTATGAAATCTTAAACGAACACTTATTTGAAAAAGTAGCTGCCTCACAAAATGAAATTTTTCATCGTTTACTTTCGTGTAGATTCTGCACGTTTACTGAATCACTCTGTTGAATGGGTACAATTCTAGCGTATAACTATTAAATTTTGAAAAAAAAAGATTGCCTCATCAGATCTGATTGATCCTCAAGAAGGATGTGACGAGTTTTTCGTAGGCTTATTCGAACTATAGTTTGAAATAATGGCTGCTTTTTATTGTTTTATCCGATTGAGGAAGTTGGAAACAAGAGAAACGGGTGAGATGTGGTTCTATAATATAAATAACAGCAGATATCGGCGTAAGCTGTATTCTTGACAAACTGAAATGCTTTTTTGATAGCATTTAGGGATGTTGGATTAGCATTAGTATTTAAAAAAATGCTAATACTTTTGTATTAGAGTCAAAAAATAACTTAATGCTGTGCTGTTAGTGTTAAAAACATAATTTAATACTTTGGTGTTAGTATTGAATTAAAATTAGCATTAAAGTAGCATTATTTAATAGATTTTTCGTGAGCATTAGTATTAAATAGTGATATTTTTAATACTAATACTAATTCAAAAGTAATACGAACGTCTTAATTTATTTTTTTAACACTAACACAAAAGCATTAAGTTATTTTTCTAACTCTAATGGAACAGCATTAAAAACAGCATTAATTAAAACAATGCTAATGCTAAGCCGACACTCCTAATAGCATTCGAGTCAATGTGATGTACCTCCTGGTCGTTTATTACAATAAATGATATTAAAAGATAGTTGCGATATTGCCATCGACTGATACATGATTGTAGTGGACAATACTGTTTTTGGGCATATGATGTAGTATTTGTTTTTTTCGAGTATCTGTTCGAATTGATCTGGCTACAAAGCCATGCGTTTCCTTGAAGATCGAATATGACTTAAGATGAAATAGTGTCCCAGCTGACTCTGATATAATCTACTTGGTTATTCATGCACATCAATTTTTCATTCGAGGTTACACCCAATGCACTCTTTACGATGAGTGTAAGTGATATAAATTTACATAGACGAATTATATAAATGTCTCGAATACTCTTAGTTGACCTGACGAGGATGCTACCACCCAAGCAGACTAAAATTTGAAAAACGCGTTTAAAATCTTAAAAGGGAATTGTGATTCTGATCCGTTCACAGTAAAGAGGAAAACGCAAGAAACGCGTTTCGTGCGTGTTTCTAATCAGCGTGAACTGGTTAAAAAGCCGATCGCATTCTCAGTGTTTAAACATGTTTTTCTAAATTTTAGTCGGCTTGGGCGGTACCATTCCAGGCGTGGGTGAGTGTGGGTGTCGATCTTCTCGAACTCCACATCCACATCCATATCCACACTCACACTCAGATCCACACCAACACCCACACCCACATCTACACTCGCACCCACATCCACCCACACCTAAACCCTTAATTGCTTCTTAAAGTCTGACAGCACTATCAATCTAATTTGATTGTACACTGAGATAGAGCATATCCTAATATATGTCTTCCTATAAAACTTCTTTTACGTTAGACAATCGAAGTGGCTGGAATTCATCAAACAATTTGATTCGAATAGGTGGTTCTATAATTTTGACCAGCAGTGTAGTTGTAAGAGTATAGGTATCAGAGAATAGTTCTATGCGTATAGGTGGAAGAGTAAAAGGGTTTGAAACTTTTGAGTGGGTTTGGAATATTTATTGTAGTTTTGAAGTATGATAGAGAAATCTTCCTAGATCACACACGAAAAAAAACGGTCAAAAGTTTTCAAACTTTTTTTAATGGTAATCAGGGTTCCCGATTGTGGGTCCGTAACGTTTGGAGAAAAAGAATCTCAATGCGATAAAGATTTTCTACGTTTAAACGTCCAAAAATCCCGAATGTTTTCATATGGTATAGCGGTTCCCGATTGTGTGTGATTTACATTTGGAAAAGATGGATATGAAAATGTTGAACATTTTCACGGTTGAAATGTCAAAACTTTTAGCCATTTGAAAAATTTATCGGTTGAACGTCAATTATTTGTAACTGTTAGTGACACACAATCGGGAACCTCGACTGACATTCGAAAACGGTCGAAAACTTGCGCGCTTACACACGTGTTTGAATTTTCTTGTCTGCTTGGGCGTCTCTTTCTCTTGCGACGATTCTGATTCTTTTCCTCATTCGTTGTAGTGATTCCCAATATTCCTGTCAATGCTCAATGGCAACAAAACGGCATCACTGTGGCTGGAGGAAATGAACGAGGCAATGCAGTCAATCAACTCTTTTCCCCATGGGGTTTATATGTTGATGATGATCAAACTGTCTATGTAGCTGATCAGTTGAATCATCGTATAATGAAATGGGCATTGGGTGCGACGAGTGGTCAAGTAGTTGCCGGTGGAAATGGACAAGGAAGTGGAGCTCATCAGTTGTCTAGCCCATTCGATGTGATCGTCGACAAAGACACTGATAGTCTCATCATCTGTGATTATTCGAATAGAAGAGTGGTTCGATGGCCTCGTCGAAATGGAACAAGTGGAGAAACGATCATCTCCAACATCGATTGTCGGAGTTTGAAAATGGACGAGAATGGATCTCTCTATGTCACTGACGTTGGAAAAGATGAAGTGAGACGATATCGAAGAGGAGAATCTGAAGGAACAGTAGTTGCAGGTGGAAATGGACGTGGAGATCGTCTCGATCAACTCTCTGACCCCCAATACGTATTCATCGATCGAGATCATTCAGTGTACGTGTCTGAATGGGGAAATCGTCGTGTGATGAAATGGGTGGAAGGTGCAAAACAAGGCATTATCGTGGCTGGTGGTCAAGGAGAAGGAAATGGTCTCGAACAACTTTCACGTCCTCTAGGAGTCGTTGTCGATCAATTGGGCACTGTCTATGTGACTGATGGAGGGAATGCTCGAATCATTCGTTGGCCCATAGGAGTCACACAGGCAAGTGTCATTGTTGGTGGAAACGGTGCAGGAGGACGATCGAACCAACTCTATGGTCCCGTCGGTTTGTCATTCGATCGACACGGCAATCTTTATGTCGTTGATTGGGGAAATCAACGAGTACAAAGATTCAACTTGGAATTCAATAGTTGAAAAAGAATGACCAGACGGACTCGCAATGAAAATGCCATGCAATGGCAACAGTGAATGATTTCCTTTTTTGTGCGGCTGTCAGTGTAGTGTGTAATTTTCAATGAAACAAAATCATCGAAAACCTGCACTCATATGACGAGAGGCAGATAGGGGAAGGAGAATGAGAGGTGAGAGAGAGGAGAGACATGGTGGAGGGAAATGGGGCATAGAGACGGGAATGGACACGCGAGGAAGACGGAGGGAAAGAAACAAACTGATGTCCCAAAAGGATGTGGGTGTGGGTAACTAATGAATTCCCACACCCACACCCACACCCTCGCCATCAAAGTAGGCTTGTTGGGACATAATGTTTGAATTAGATGAGTAATTGCTTATACTCTCTCGATTCACCGTCTGACACATAAAGTAAAAAGGGTACAGTTGTGACTAATGTCTGAAATTTGAAAGATTCTGATGAGGTTTCACTTCATGTACGTTCATCTATGTTTTTGTGTATATGAACGTGAGAAGCATGCTAGGACTTCGAATTCGTACAATACTAGCTTCCTTAGGATGTTCTGTCACCTGAAACCCTTATCGAGAAAGAAAGAATATACAAATTTATGAAGAATATCAGAAAATGACATCATTCGGTCATATCTGAAGAAAGCTAACACAACTTCTTTCTTCTTTGCTTGGCAAGCACATTAAGTGATGCATCAATCGTGATAGGTTTCATTATTGTGTTTTCTTCTTGTCTATAACATAAATCATATGTGACTAACTTTTTGGCAACTCACTCCGAGTTAACTGATCGCTAGAATATCATTAATGTTTTACATATAATTCCGAATGTTCTGTCCGAAAATAGAACTACATTTACTATCAATGCATCACATATAAAAAAAATAATTGTATTACAGCCGTGACACGTAGAAGAAAATGAAAGAAATTTATTGCACATGATCAAATATCTTACACATGTGCCTTGGAATGCCCATGTAACTTTACTAAAACGAAATATATTTACTTCAAGTAGAAGTCTCCAGGGTAGGGGTGACCTGTCCTGGCTTGCCTTGAAAGGTAGGAACAGGTTACAAGATTTTTCACAGGACATTGTACAGGTTACTGAGGCCATAATCTGTTAACCTGCAATAGAAATGTTGTCAATAGCATGCCTAGCAGATTTCAAAGACTATGAACAGTGGTTTTTTGCTAGAATAACTTATTTTCATATATTTATAGTACGAAGAATAATGATGTTGTATTTCTGATTGCGCTAATCCCTGCGAACACAAAAAGCAAGCATGTGCTCGGTATTCCTTTTTTTTATTCGAAAGCTTTAATTTTTCAACCTGAGAATTCAATCGAGTATCCGCGAGCTTTTCCAATAATAATACATTTGTATCGGGAAAGCTCTACATCTTACCACGATCTATACCTGAGTTTATCATAAAACAAGTGGTGAGAACGATTGGGTTTTCTCTGTTATTTGCACGAAGCAGGATGCGGATGAGCGTGGATATGGGTGTAGGTTGGGTGTGGGTGTGGGTCATCGCTTTATCACCCACATCCACACCCAACCTACACCCACCCACACCCTCAAGCAAGGTTTTCTTCTTTATTTTCATGCATTCGGATTCTATGCTGCTGTCAAATCGTTATTGACAATATCGAGTATCTTTTTTTTTCAACAGGTACTCTTTGTTTTGGAAATCGGACCAAAATAAAATCATTCTCTCTTTTCATATAAGTCTAGATCTTTTCTCAAAACTATTTAAAATGCAGAAGCAGCAATACAATATCCGCACTATATAGTTGTCGATTGAATGATTGCTTTAAAAAGAGGGATAACTCTGAAATAAAAACGGCACGACTTTTTTCTGTTTAATACCAGAGAAAACACAATCGTCGTAGAAATGTACACAAAAACGATTTCTGACATAAATCGAACTTTGTAAAAGTGGCAAGCAAATTTTCTCTTGTGCTGATGTCTTGACGAAATATGTAAAAATATTAACCAATCTATAATCGAAGAATATAATTTCGATGAGAGCACCTTACAATTATGCATGCACATGTTAGATGATCTTTTGTTCATGCTATTTACTAGATCCAATATACATGTTTAATTTTCGACAACAATAAATGATACTTCACATTGACTCTCAAGCGATGAAGAAATCAATGTACGACACTGTTCATTTGTTATATGATTAACTAGACAGTAGAAAGTCTACTAATTGATATAATAAAGAAGTTTTGATTTCAAATGGTAATAACTGTACAGTTGACCATAGAAATTCACGAATATTTAATGAAATTAGATTAGA